TTTACTTGACTTTGATTACTATGGATTCTACTTAAAAGTGTTGTCAAAGATCTGAATAAATCAATCAGTTGTATTACATATATTAGCTATTCAATGTTCTAAATCCTGGGGACAAAAATTAGTTGGTTCAGACTTGCACCTTCAATGGATTGTAAATTTTCCTTCATCCTCGGGGGTCTTTGTATCCAGGTGAGTAGAGGTATGTGAGGGGGGTGGTTCAGGAGTAGTGACTTGGTTTTAACAAAATCCCAATCCCTCTACACAGAGAGGCACACAGTCCTCTATGACAAGAGTTTGTTCATTTTCATTTTCATTTTTTTTATTACAAAGCACTGAGCTACTTTTCAACAGACAATGATGGAAATAACCAGAAGCATCAATGTGTAGCTTTGAGAACTTAGTCCTTCACTGAAAATAATTTTCTCAATCCTCTTGTTTATAGCAAAATATTAAAGGTTTATTTAATTTCCTATTAATTTTAAATTAAGAAATTTGTACTTGCTAGTCTCTATTTTCATGCTTTCCTGGAGATTTTTCTGAGGCTTCACTAACTTTTATATATGTTTAAAATAATCCAAACATGCCGAAACCGGTTTGGCTCAGTGGTAGAGCGTCAGTCTGCGGACTGAAGGGTCCCAGGTTTGATTCCGGTCAGGGGCATGTACGTTGGTTGCGGGCACATCTCCGGTGGGGGTGTGCAAGAGGCAGCTGATCGATGTTTCTCTCTCATCGACGTTTCTAGCTCTCTATCTCTCTCCCTTCCTCTCTGTGAAAAATCAATAAAATATATTTTTTAAAAAATAATCCAAACATTATCCTCTAAAGAAAATGAAAACAACATATTTTGAAAGACTCTGCTTTAAATTAGCTATTCTTGGTGTACTATGGTCAAATTTATTTGGCAATAAATCCTTGCAAATTTCAGACAGGCAAGTGATTAACAAGACTGAAATGCTGCCCTGGCTGGTAGCTCAGTTGGTTAGAGCATCATCCCAATACACCAAGGTTGTGGGTTCAATCCCCGGTCAGGGCACATACAAGAATCAACCTATGAATGCATAAATGAGTTGAACAACAAATTGATGTTTCTTTCACTCTCCCCTCCTCTCTAAAATAATAAAGACTGAAATGCCACATTGAGTTACATCCAAATACAGTTTTAGGAAATGTGAACCTTCCCCCAGAATCTCTCAAATCATGTCAACTAAAAAGTATACTGTTTTTGATGGTGGAACTTGTTAAAATGCTGGTTTGTTTGTTTTGAGATATAGAGATATATATATTAGGGAGAAGAAAGGAGAGGGAGAGAGAGAGGTGCATTAGCTGCCTCCTGCACCCTCCCCACCGGGGATAGAACCTGAACCAGGCATGTGCCCTGATCGAGATTTGATGCATGGGGATGATGCCCTACCGAGTCACACAGGCAGAGTGAAAATGCTGGGTTTTGAATGTGTTTGATCAAACCATTTTGCAAAAGGCAAGAGTAGCTGTATCATCACAACTATTTCCCTATTTAATGATTCATGAGTAGTTTCCTTACTGGAAAACACTATACGGAAGGGTGAGCCAGTTGAAAACTAAGGAAAAGAAACTGTTCTGCTTATATGTTGTAAACCACAGTAAATCTGTCTATGTACACAGGCACACAAAACTAAAATTTAGATCTATGCAGGCAACTTCTGAACTCATACATCTTTGGCACTCAAAGATACTGAATTAACTAAGCAATTGTAAATAATTATTTTTTCATATCCAGTAGTTTCCCCTCTTATCCTTGGTTATACTTTCCGAGGTTTCAGTTACCTGTGGTCACCCATGGTCTAAAAGTAATATATAGAAAATTCCAGAAAAAAAATTGCATAAACTTCAAATTCTGAGTAAAGTAGTGTGATGAAATCTCATGTCATCCCGCTCTGTTCCACCCACGACATGAATCACCCTTTGTCCAGTGTATTACTCTGTATACACTACCTGCCTGTTAGTCACTAGTCACTGAGTAGCTGGCTTGACTATGTATCGCAGTGCTTATGTTCAAGAAACCCTTATTTTACTTAATAATGGGCCCAAAGCACAAGAAAATGATGCTGGCATTTCAGATATGCCAAAAAAAAAAAAAAAGTCATAAAGTGCTTCCTTAAAGTGAAAATGTATGTATATATATAGGACAAAACTAGTATATAGGGCTCAGAACTATCTGGGGGTCTTGAAACTTATCTCCTGTGGATAAGGGGGTACTATTGTACTTTAGGAAATGTCTATGCCCCAATTTAAAAAATGCTATACTCTTCATCCTAAAAATTCACTGAGATAATAATAATAAATAGAAATAAAAAATCACTAATATAAAGATAAGCTAAAATCTATCAATTTAACCAGCCACCCAAAAGTTTAATTAACAACAGTCACTAAAATAGGTATGGGGTCAAAGAATCTCCTTAGAAACATGAAAGTGGCTGACACTTTATATTTTTAGAGTTTTGGAATTAAGATTTTAAAACACCTTTTGGACATCCTGATTTATATGGAACCGAATCTTAACTTGTATATAACAGTGTTAACAATTACATCTTCAAACCTTAGTGGGAGGTGCAAAGTTATTCTATATTCTAACAGGACCATTTACCCTCGACATACTCCATGGGTACGTACACTCACACAGGCACAACAGGTACATGGTTTCCCCAAGTCCTTCTGTGGCTCCTTGCCATCTCTGGAAAGGAGCAGGGACTCAGTGTGTGTGCTGAGCTCTCAGAGTGAGAGTATGCCCAATGGCTGGGAACTCTGAGCCCACGGCCCTGGCACTGGGAGGGCAGCCGGCTGCTGCCAAGTGCAGCTTTCTAGAGGTTCAGGCCATATGAATCTTACGTCATCGGGAAAATATCCAGTTTGGACGTGGTCCACAGAGTGACTTTTTTCTTTGATCCCGGTGTCGGAACTAGAGTAAGAATTCTGGAACGAGATACTGTGTACCAAAAAAACATCTTTCCCCTTTAGAGAAACCAATAAGCTTTTTCCTTTATACCAATTTATGAAACAAATAACTAATTTCTCAAGTATCACACTAGATATTAGGGAATACTTGAACTGAAAAAAGATGCCATCAACAAGAGGCAGTTACTTTTAAAAAAGCTTCGTTCTGTTTGGTCTTTAAACAGCTGGCAAGATAGACCAACGGGCAGAAATGTCATTTGCTACTTTTCCCACGGTACCACTGATGCTTCTAAGCAGGGAAGACGCTTTAGTTTCGTTTGGAAGGAAGCTGAAAGGGAAATAGAACAGCCAAATCACTAAAACCCAATGCTGTGTTAAGAAGTGCCTTGTTGGTTTAGCTCACTGGGAGTCCTTCCAGTCATCCTCCTCCTCCTCACCTGCCTCGTGTGTTCACATCCCGATGAAAGGCTGTGGTGACTGATCTGGACAACAGCTAGAGAAAACACTAATTTTAATATTTAAATTATTCTTGATGGAGCCAGAGCAATCTATTTTCAATGGAATTGGTTAAATATACTATAAAATCTTGGTTTACAACCAACAGAGAAATCTTAAACTTGAGAGTCTTTAAATATATGTATTTGGCACTTATCTTTCATCTTATTTTACTAATTAGGGGAATCTCAAATGGAAAAAAAGACCTCAATGTCTTAGCTTTTGAAAACCTTTTAATTTCCTAACCAAAATCTTGTTAGTGAGTTTATCAGTGAGGTTTGCGGACACTCTCACATGGCAAGCATTTCATCTAGTGTGAAAAGCCTTTATGCTGTGATGTAATAGCTGGCTGAGAGCAACTAAGGAAACGAAAAAAAGCATACACTTTCTTCCCAAGAAATAAAATACGACAAAGAATGCAAAAGAGCAATGGGACAGGAGCAAAATCTCCACAATTTCAACGACAACTGAAGCAGAGCAGGCTTTCTTTTCCGGCACATTCCCATGTCCCTGCGATGAACTGCACACGACCCTATGTGTCACTTGCTCTGGGAGGTCCATTCAGTATGAAGAGCCTGGGGAGTACCTCTAAGTGTGGGAGGCTGGTGCCTGGCACTACGTTTGGTGACAAGGCACAGACTACCAAACCAGGCATCAGTAAGATTGGAGCACTTGAGAATTAGACAACTGGAATGGACCTATAGGGGCCTAGCAAACCAAAACCCAACGTGTGGTGTACCAGAAGACGGGCCGTTCTTTAGAAGGCCAATCCCATAGGGACAAGGACACGGACCCTATCAGCACTGGGAATGGTCGTGTTACTGATTAAAATGCACAGGATTTGGAGATAAATATGGAATAAAGTACAATCAAGCACAACTTATCCCCTAGTAAATGCAAAAGTCTCTAGGAACTGAAACATTTTTCTAAATATTCTGAAGCAATCTCCTTTCCCAACCACCACCTCCTGTGTATAATAAATATTCCATTTCAGAGCATACTAGCTAGATAAGACACATTAAAACGAAACATTTGTCCAACAAAGATGCCAAACATAAGGGTCTATTTTATTGCATGACGTTTGCATAAGAAAAAATATTATTGAAACCTGTAAGGCATCATGCAATCATCAATGAGCTAATTAATTATTAATTGTATACTTAAGATAGGTGGACATATAATCTAAAATTTAAAAACTAGTTCCAAAAGTACATAAAAAATTTAACATGATGAACTTTTAATTATAGTTTATATTTGTAGTTTCATATTGTTAAAAAGTGCTTCAAATGTTCTGCTGAAAAGTCGCTGTTTATAAATGGCGCTGGGGGTCATGTCAGATTACAAACAGTAAAAACTAATTATCTTCATGGAATTAGAAAGCTAACATTGTGATATTCAAACTTACTTGAATCAGTTTTCAATTGTCACTCAAATTAAGTTGATATAATATTAATCTAAAAAATATCTGTTTTCTAACCAACAAAAGTCTATTGAATTCAAGTTATGCATGTTCAACAATCAAATCTCTGAGTGGCCTGAATGGCCGGACCTGGACCCGAGGCAGGTTGGCGGTATTAGTCAATGTACTGTGCCATCCAGCGGAAGCCTTCTCCATAGCCTTGCCTTTTGAGCACACTGCACATGAAAACTTCCAGTGGCCGGGCGTTCAGTTCTTTCAGAGAGACATTGCCCTAGAAGAGAAGACAAACATTGAGCTGGATGAAACCTTTGTGGAACAAAAGCCCCACTCCCCAGCAGAATTATAGCGTATGTATCGCAGAATTATAGCTTATGGATAAAGCCACGTTAGGACCAAATGGGGAAAAGGTGGGCTTGTGAGGCATACAGGAATGAAAATGATCTTTGAGAAAAATTTCAAGTTACTTCAACTCGCTTCACAAATATTAAGGATGAATATTCTCTAGGTAGGTTTATGACTAAGCATGGCATTTCCTAAAATTAATATGTAATTGAGTTATTAAAAAGAAGACACAGAGACAAACCAAAGTCTACCTTGTATAATGTAAGAGTTTCCTTCTATAGGCTGCAGTATTTCTAAAATCAGAGTATATGTAAACCAAGGAAATTTTATTTGTAAACTCTGGGGAAAATTTTTTTTTCATTCGAAGATCTACTTGACTTTATTAAGCAGTCGATGAATCTAGCAACATCCAATCTGGCAACCAGAAGAGTGCCCCCAACTCTGGGATTTTTCAATACTAAGGCCCCTCTCCTGAACAAATTCTAGTGGAAATGAATGCAAATATAATGCCTCTTAAAGTTTATTAAATATGTGTTCAGAAAACCCAAAACACTCCTATGCCCAAATTTACATTTTATTTTTATCTCTGTGAGCTCAGAGCCTACACACTAAACTGGTGGCCTCAATACACTACTGGTATGCTTAAATATTCAAGTAAATTATTTGGTGGTTAATTTTTAAAATTTATTTAGCTTAGCTGGTGTAGTTCAGTGTTTGAGTGTTGACTTCTGAACCAGGAGGTCATGGTTCGATTCCTGGTCAGAGCACATGACTGGGTTTGGGGCGTACAGGAGGCAGACAATGATTCTTTCTCATCACTGATGTTTCTATCTCTCTCTCCCTCTCCCTTCTCTGAAATCAATAAAAATATATTTAAATTTTTTTAAAAAAAACCTTTGAAAGCTTTGATTTAGTCTCCCATAAGCATGAGCTGTGACATTTTTGTTATCACCAAGAAAAGGTCACATTCAGTGGTATAAAGAAAACAGTGAGGACATTTAAATAAAATATCCAAAAATGTATAGATGACAGGTATTTTTATTTAAGTATAGGTGGTATACAATATTATATTAGCTTCAAGTATACAATGATTCAACATTTTTAAATCTTACAATGTGATCACCCCACTAATTCTTTTTTTTATTAAATATATTTTTATTGATTTCAGAGAGGAAGGGAGAGGGAGAGAGAGATAAAAACATCAATGATGAGAGAGAATCATTGATTGGCTGCCTCCTGCATGCCCCCTACTGGATATCGAGCCTGAAACCCAGGCATGTGCCCTTGCCTGGGACCCTTCAGTCTGCAGGACAGTGCTCTGTCCACTGAGCCAAACCAGCCAGGGCACACCACTAATTCAAGTAATCATCTGTCAACATGTAAACTTTTCACGATATTATTGACTATATTCCCCTTCACCTTTTCACCCTTCCTTTCATCCTCCACCCCTCTGGCAACCAGCCCTTTGGTGTTGTTTCTATAAGTCTGTTTTTGCATTATTCTGTTTTAAATTCTACATATAAGTGAAACCATACAGTATTTGTCTTTCTCTGACTGACTTATTTCATTTAGCATAATGTCCTCTAGGATCATCTATGTTGTTGCAAATGGCAAAATTTCTTTTTTAGCGTTACACACACACACACACACACACACACACACACACACACTCCTCCTATAGCTACTCATCTACTGACAGACACCTACGGTGCTTCTGTACCTTGGCTACTGTAAACAATGCTGCACTGAAAATAGGGGTGCATATGTCTTTTCAAATTAATATTTTCATTTTCTTCAGATAAATACCCAGGGGTGGAACTGCTGGGTCATATTGTAATTCTATTTTTAATATTTTAAGGAAACTCTATACTGTTTTCAACAGTGACTAAACCAATTTACAATCTAACCAACAGTGCCCAAGGGTTCCCTTTTCTCCACATCCTTGCCAACACATTTGATAACTTTTTTATAACAGCCATTATGACTAGTGTTCAGTCATAATGGCTGTTATAATTCTTTTTTTATAATTCTTTATTGTTGGAAGTATTACATATGTCCCTCTTTATCCCCCATTGACCCCTTAAGCCCGCTTCAATGTGGTTTTGATTTGTATTTCCCTGATGAGTAGTGATGTTGAGTAAATGCTAGTTTTTAAGGAAAAAAACAAACAAAAAAGATGAAGGACTTGAGTAGTTGGATGATAGTAATCTAAAAAGACATTTTGTTGTACACACGAAACTAGTATAATGTTATGTCAATTATACCTTAATTTTTTTTTAAAAAAAGGATCCAGATTGTACCAATTAAGCTAATAACATGATTACTGTTAGGGGTAGTGTTGAAATAAACTATTTCAGAAGATAAAAATATACTGTTGAATGAAGTTTCATACTTGTCAAACATTTTTTTTTTACCTTTCCTGTTGTCTGACCATATAAACCAAACATCTCTCGTAATCTCTCTTCACTGATGGCTTCAGGTCTGTCGATCTTATTCCCAAAAATCAGTATAGGCACATTAGCAATGGTTTCATCTGTCATTAGTGACTGAAAACAAACAAACATGAAAGCAAAATGAAACAGATGCTGATATGAAACCACCCAAGGGGCTTATTTTTACAAGATACCAAATGAGTATCAAGGACTTGTTCTCTATCATAACATGTCAGTTTTGCTAACTTTCTTTGGCAAACTTTTCCTCAATTTTGTGTGAACTCAATGAACCCTTCACCTGAATCCTGTGTCTTCCTAAGGCTCCTTCTGTGGATGCTCACACTGCTCACTCTGTGAATCAGGGAGGTACAGCGACCAGAGCCAACGCCTTAAAAATGGGCAGACTGATTCATTTCTAGTTCTGCTGCTTCTGAGCTGTGAGATCCCGGACAAATAGGTCTCACTGAAGTTCACAGAAAATGAAATAGTAGCACCTGCTTTATGGAGTGGATTTGAGAATTAAATGAGGTAATATGTATAGTGTGTGGCATAAGGTAGGAACTCAGTAATTCCCTAACCCTCTGCATGAACACAGAACCTAACAGGACTTTTTCGCATGAACAAGTATTTCTGTGCCTGTTCTGGACAGAGGTAGAGGCAGAGGCAGAGGCATCCAACCTTCAAATCATGGACCTGCTCTCTCACTGGCCTTGCTTGCTGTTCCTGGGCCCCTTTAAGAAGCATCTGATCTAGGGGAAGCAGCTACCCATGGCCCGGCTCAATACTGGGAGTGGTGACAAAGATGGTATGTTATACCATCTCCAGGTTCTGGCCAACTCCGTAAGAAACTGGCAGCCTAGGATGATCGGGGATTCAAGACCAAGCCCCTCCAGGAATGTAGCAAACATGAGATACACTACAAGGACACACTGCCCAGAGTGAGCTTGTCTTCAGGAAGGAATTCTGCATTAGTACTTCCTCAATAGCTACTCCCTCTGCATTCTAAATCATCGCTGAGCTCCATACTTGCCAGGAGTTACATCAGACTACAGAAAAGCTGCACTCTAATACCTGGATCTCCAACCTATTTCCTCAGGCTTACTAGTAATTCAACTGTTTAGTTTTAATTATTTAACTTACATCAAGTTCTTCTTTTGATTCTAACAGCCTTTCATGGTCTGCACAATCCACCAGAAATACAATGCCATTGATAGCAGGAAGGTAGTTTTTCCACACTCTTCGAGCTAACAAAAACAATGAGAGTTAGATTTTATTTGCTGGTCAAACATAGAAGATGGATTGATGAGAGTCCAATAAGATATCAAGTGTAATTATCCCTTAGCTGCTGCTACTTCATATATACTCAAATTAATCTTTTACCTAGTGCTGCCAAATCTTTCCTTAAGAAATTTCAGGCTTTCCTTGACTGTGGACAAGTCAATACTTTGCCCCAGATTTCCTATGTTTCACAGGTAGTATTCATATCTGCTACCAATGATGGATAATGATGATTGTTAAGTTCATTGGAGTACTGCTATTATTTTCATATGCAGTATTTGTATTTTTACATTTCTAGTTTATAGGTTTCTCGTTTTCTTTTTTTCTGGGGATAAATTTGGAGTCAGTGGCAGAAGGAAATTGGTACTAGGTACAGACTTAAGTTAATAATAATAAAAGCATACTGTTGTACTCATAACAGAAATAAACTAAAGTCTATAAAAATATATGGTAATTTTTTTCCATGACATTCTTTTCTAAAGAAAAGAGTTTTTGGAATGCCCCAGAGAATACGTTTTTTCTCTGACTTCAGTTTTATGGCATATCTTTAAAACAATATAGAAATGAAGTCTCAGATGAGCTCCATTAGGTTTTCATTCCCTGTAATCATTATATTCTAGAAAATACTTTAAAGGAGGTCCTCGGGTTACGTTGGAGATCCATTCCTATGGCACGATGTAATGCGATTTTCGCCATAAGTTGGATTCACTTACATAAGCACCTATGTCACTCACATGGAGCACACACACAGCAGGAATGAAGTGAAACGGCGAAAAAAATTTAAAAGAAAGATAACAACTCCTGAACTACTTGTGGTAAATAAATAATAAAAAACATAAAGGACATACACTGAGTGGCCAGATTGTTATGATCTCTGAATGCATATATAATAGAAGGCTAATATACAAAATGTCCCCTTCACTAGGAGTTCAACCAGCAGGCAGGCCAGCCAACCGCCCATGTCCCCTCTCCCTCGCCAGGCTGGTAGTTTTTTATGCACTGGAACATAATGGTCATGGTTTTATTAAGTTAAAATAAAGCTCTACAAGAGTAATAGAAACTTACCTTGAACATGTCCTCCCAGATCAAAAGTTGTAAAGGTCATGCCAGCAATGGTTAGTTCTTCTGAAGCTAAACAATAATAAAAAATATTTTTACAACATGAAAATCAGAAATCCATTTATGGTATATATTGCAAATTTTTATTTACTTTAACTGAAAAAAAGTCAAACATTTAGGAACTGATAAAACAATTCTTTATTGTAATTAGATATACTCCAATTCATATTAATGGTATAACAAGTAGGTAATATTCAATTCTACCCACCACAAATAAATCACTTATTTATTTTTCCTTCTCTATTTCTCCTGCTAAAATGTTAATCTATTCAGGCAATTATTTTTTTCTGAATTCTTCCAATCTAATAATTTCCTGCAAGTCAGCTTAAATAATACAGATGAAATAAACAATTTTCTCTTATAGCTGTCAAATTTTGTATGTGACAGTATTTAATGACAAACACAACTATAATTTTAAAAAAAATTGGCCATTATTTCTTCAAATATGTTTTTCTGCTCCCTATCTTCCCCTTCTGGGATTTCAATTATAGGTCTCCTAGACAGCTTTATATTATCCCAGAAGTCACTGAGACTGTTCCTTGTTTTTCAGTCATTTTTTCCTCTGTGTTTTATTTTATAGTTTCTACTGCATTGACATAAGTTCACTGGTCTTTCTTTCTGCACTACTGGCACTGTCTAATTTCCTATTAAGCCTATCCAGTGAAAATTTCATTTCAGATATTTTATGTTTAGTTCTAGAAGTTCCATTTGGTTCTTCAAAAAAAAATTTATTTCAGAGAGGAAGGGAAAGGGAGATAGAAATATCAATGATGAGAATTATTGATCAGCTGCCTTCTGCACGAGTACGCACATACACACACATATATCCCCCCCCCCTCTCTAGCTCTCTCTCTCTCTCTCTCTCTCTCTCTGTCTCTTTACTGGGGATCCAGCCCGCAACCCAGGCATGTGCCTTTGACTGGAATTGAACCCTGGATCCTTCAGTCCAAAGGCTGACGCTCCATCCACTGAGCCAAACCAGCCACGGCCATTTGGTTCTTTTATACCTTCCATTTCTCTCGTTATGTTCATTTTTTCCTTAAATCCTTGAGCATATTCGTAACAGCTGTTTTCACTTTCTTATCTGCTAATTCTATCATCTTTGTCAATTCTGGGACTCTTTCTACTGATTGATTTTTCTCCTGGTTATGGATATTTTCCTGCTTCTTTGCATGTCTACTAATTTTTAATTTTTATCCTCACCTAAGGATATATTCATTGATTTTTTTTTTAGAAAGGGGGGGAGGGAAATATTGACATGAGAAAAACATCGAAAGGCTGCAATCCCCCCACAAATGCCATTAAACACAAAACCTAGGTATGTGCCCTAACGAGGAATCCAGCCTACTCCCTTTGGTGTAAGGGACAATGCTCCAACCAACTAGCCACACCAGCCAGGGCTCTGGTAATCCTTTTATTAGATGGTGGATTTTGTTGTATTCTTCTGAAGAAAGTGGACTTTGTTCTGGCAGGCAGTTCATTGCAGATCAGTGTTTACACTCTGTTAGGGAAGATTTAAAGTAGCCTTTACCTTGAGGCCACTTTAATCCATTACTGAGGTAGGACCTTTTGTAGTTTCTACAAATGCCCCAGAATGGGGAGATTCAACCAAATCTCTCCATTCTGGCTGATGGGAATGTAAATGATTTCCGGTGCCATGTAAGCACTTGGAATTATTTGGCTAACAGATCTGCTCCAGTCCCTCCTCCAGAAACTGTTCTTTGACTGGCTATGTGGAGTTTTACACTATGTGTGCAGATTGGTACTCAGCCACAAAAATGTTTCACTTTCTTTCTCTGCAGAGCTCATTCCTCTCTTACCAACAATTTCTAGTGACCGCTACCTCTCCAAACCCTGGTCTCTGTCTCCTCACTCACCAAAACTCCTGGGTCATGTTTGGGTCTCATCTCCCTGCCCCGTGGTCTGAAAAGTATCTCCTGGGATAAGCTTAAGTGAAGAGGGTTCTTTTCCTTCTCTCAGGAATCATAGTCATGTGCTAGCTATTGCCCAATATCTGAAAAACGGTTGTAGTATATCTTTTTGTCCAGTTTTCTAGTTGTTTACAATGGGAATGTAATTCTAGACTGTTACTCCCTCGTAGCCAAAAGCAGAAGTCCCCTACAATTACAATGAAAGGTTCAGAGTAATTGTTTACTATTCAGTATAACTGCGAAGGCCCCAGAGTAGTTTATCTTGTGAAAAATTCTGTACGTAGAGACAAAACCGGTTTGGCTCAGTGGTAGAGTGTTGGTCTGTGGACTGAAAGGTCCCAGGTTTGATTCCGGTCAGGGGCATGTACATTGGTTTTGGGCACATCCCCAGTAGGGGGTGTGCAAGAGGCAGCTGGTCGATGATTCTCTCTCATCGACGTTTCTAACTCTCTGTCCCTCTCTCTTCCTCTCTGTAAAAAATCAATAAAATATATATATATTTTTTAAATCTTCCTTTTTCAACACCACTAATAGTTTTTTAGGTAAAATCTTACTTTGTTTTGTTCTGTTCTCCTACCTTGTACTTTATTTATTAAAGTAAATAACTATCATATTACCTACATTTTGGTGCAGTTCTCAATTTTATACTCATTATTTAGGTCACACTCATTATTTCATAATCAATCTGTGGATTAACTTGTCTTTAAATTCTGTGTCTACATAACTCAGTCTTTTCAACAGTAAAAGTGATTTACAGTTACTATGTTAGGCTTCTTTGTAATAACTGTCACTTTATTTATTTATTTTTTAAAATATATTTTATTGATTTTTCACAGAGAGGAAGAGAGAGGGATAGAGAGTTAGAAACATCGATGAGAGAGAATCATCGATCAGCTGCCTCTTGCACACCCCCTACTGGGGATGTGCCCGCAACCAAGGTACATGCCCTTAACCAGAATCGAACCCGGGACCTTTCAGTTCGCAGGCCGACGCTCTATCCACTGAGCCAAACCGGTCCCGGCATAACTGTCACTTTAACGTTAGTTTATCAAAAGGTACCTATTATGTAACCTTATATATATGATGGTATAAATTAAGTCATCATTAATGTCTTTCAGGATGTCTTTCTTAAAGAAAGAACGGTAAATTATTTTAAAATTTTCCATAAGTATATCAACACATGACTTCTTTTTCAGAATAATTCTATGATCTTTATATTAGGTATTGTTGAAGTTGTTAGGACTAGAAAAATAACTGGTTAATAAATGGAGTCACCAGTAAAGTATAAGAGTGTAATCTGGAAAGAAAAGAAAACAACTACAATCTGTCCACTGAATAATGATTAAAATAGCACAGCTTTAAAATCTGAAAGAAACTTATGTATGTAAACAAAGTTATGGTGACATAGAGCCTAAGTAACATCTGGTTGGATAGACCTTAATTATGTCATAGTCGCTAAGATAGTAACTTTTTAATTGCTTTAGCTGGAGAAGAGTGTATTCACTGATAAGATCTGTGTATTATTTCAAGATCTAAATATACTTCTGGTAGTGGAGTCACCTATTATTTACTATTTAAGAGCAGGTCAAATCACCTTATTATAATATATCCATAGCAAAACAATCCCCCCCAAAAAACTTTCAGTTAGCACCTATGAATCAGTATCACTAAATAAAGTAATAACAATAACAATGTATGGGGGAATATACTTACTGGGATGTAACGTTGGGACGTGTTGTCCGAGTCTGTCATCTTTTAGCATGTGTAGCAATGTTGTTTTTCCTGCATTATCCAATCCAAGAAATACCAATTTACCAGTTTTCTTATATAATCCTATAGAGAGAGCTTTGATTAGTCAAAGTAACATCTGACACAGATTATGCAAATAAAATGACCTTCAATAAAATATATATTTTTTGAAATACATTTTTATTGATCTTTTTACAGAGAAGAAGGGAGAGGGAGAGAGAATTAGAAACATCGGATGAGAGAGAAACATCAATCAGCTGCCTCCTGCACACCCCCTACTGGGGACGTGCCCGCAACCGAGGCACATGCCCTTGACCGGAATCAATCCTGGGACCCTTTAGTCTGCAGGCCGAAGCTCTCTCTAACCACTGAGCCAAACCGGTTAGGACTCAATAAAATATATTAATAGTTTAGTTATTTAGATACTTTTCTTAATTACTCTAATTTTTTAAATAAAGAAACATCTATTAAACTTTTGAACTTTTAAGACTTAATAAACTGGCCTGAGTAAACTTGGGACTTCTAACCTACTTTTAGTTTGGAAGATCTATTTTAAATATATTATGATTTGGGAAATCAAAGCATTATAAAACTAAATTTGACCCCTATCAATGAGTATGTATGTTATCTAAACTTACCTATAATGCCGAAATCTGTCCCCTTGACAATTTGGGGGTATATATATGTCTTCCTACTCATAAAATTATTGAAATAATGTAGTTATAAAAGTAGACCAAAAGAAAATTTAATAGATGAAAATGAATTAAGTATTTTTGACAATAAAAATTACAGTGAGGCCCTGGCCAATGTGTTCAGTGGTTAGAGTAGTCAGCCTGAACACTGAAGAATTGCAAGTTCAATTCCTGATCAAGGGCACACCGTATCTGGGTTGCAGATTCCATCCTGGGGGGTCAGGCACCTGTGGGAGGCAACCAAACGATGTCTTTCTCACATCCATGTTTCTCTCTCTCTCTTCCTCTGCCTCCCCCTTCCTCCCTTCTTTCCTCCCTCCCACTCTCTCTAAAAATCAATGGAAAAAAATATCCTTAGGTGAGGATTAACAAAAATTTACAGTAAGTTTTTCAGTAACAGTTTTGTTCATTGTCAAATTTCTCTGAGAATAAGATTAAGGTTTACAGGATTGCATAAATCTAAGCAACAAAATAAAACACATAATTTTAGATGTATTACCAAGCATTGATAAAATCATATATAAATAGAAAAAAGACAACACTGACCAAGTTATTGACTCTGGCATTTATTGCCATTCTATATTGAGGCTTATTATTTTTCTTTAAATATTTTTAAGAGCAGTTTTAGATTTACAACAAAATTGACAGAAAGGCAGAGGTTTCCCATGTGTACTATTTCTACACACATATAACCTCCCCCATTATCAATATCACCCACCAAAATGATATCCCGTTTTTCTTTTTTTAAATATATTTTTATTCAGAGAGAGGGAGAGGGAGAGAAAGATAAACATCGATGAGAGAGAATCATTGATTGGCTGCCTCTTGCATGCCCCACACGGGGGAGGGAGCCTGCAACCTGGGCATGTGCTCCGACCAGGAATTGAACCGTGACCTCCTGGTTCATAGGTCAACTAACAATTCAGATCCTTAGGGGAAGATTATCTTCCATATTTACTTGAGCTGTGATAGGACATTTATTTGATCTTTATGAATTCTAACTAGTAACTTCTTTAAACATTTTTATTTCGTAAAAGGTTTCTACGGCCCGACCAGTGTGATTCAGTTGACTGAGCACTGTCCGATGCACCAGGAGGTCACTGGTTCCGTAACCAGTACGGGCACACGTCTGGGTTGCTGACTTGATCCCCAGAAAGGGGGCGTGCAAGAGACAGCCAATTGATGTTTCTCTCTCCTAGATATTTCTATCTCTCTCCCTCTCCCTTCCTCTCTCTCTAAAAGCAATAAAAAAAATTTTGTTAATCCTTGCCAGAGGATATTTTTCCATTGATTGTTAGGGAGAATGGAAGAGAGCAGAGAAAGGGAAAGACAGAAACACATTGACTGATTGTCTCCAGCACAAGCCCCAACCAGAGCCCAGGCTGGGGAGGACCCTACAACTGAGGTATGAGACCTTGACAGGAATTGAACCCAGGACCCTTTGGTCTGCAGGCCAACGCTCTATTCACTGAGCAAGGGCAAAAACATATTATTTTTTTAAAAAGGTTTCTACATAGATTGTTTCTAACCAATGCAATCAATCTTACCATCCTTAAATAGCAAACGTATATTGGATAAGATTCCAAAATGGAACACCTAGAACATTTAAACTTTAATCTGTACAGTGGATTGGACTAAATCTTTTTAATAAACATTGATTTATTGTTCTATCATTCATGCATTCATTTTTTAAAAATATATTTTATTGATTTTTTTACAGAGGAAAGGAGAGGGATAGAGAGCTAGAAACACTGATGAGAGAGAAACATCGACCAGCCACCTCCTGCACATCCCCTACTGGGCACGTGCCCGCAACCAATGTATATGCCCTTGACTGGAATCGAACCTGGGACCCTTCAGTCCACAGACTGATGCTCTATCCACTGAGCCAAATCGGTTTCAGCCATGCATTCATTGGTTGATTCTTGAACAGAGAAGGAACCTGCAATCTCGGTGCATTGGGATATCAATTTTTATTGTCCCATGCATTCATTGGTTGATTCTTATATGTGCCCTGACCAGGGATTGAAGCAGAGCAACCTTGGTGTATCGGCATGACACTCTAACCAACTGAACTACCTGGTCAGGGCTATTATTTACTAAGTGCTGTAATATTTTCCATGCGAACAATTAATTATAAGCCTAGTTTTGCCCCACCCTGTAATATTCCTAATAACCATTTTAAGAAGTAGGATTTATTATTTTACAGATAAGGAAACTAAAACTAAATTGAGTAATTTGCCTAAGATTACATAATTTAAAAGAGCTACAATCAGTCATTAAAGTTTTTTTTATAATTTCTTTTTTAAAAAATATATTTTTATTGATTTCAGAGAGGAAGAGAGACAGAGAGATAGAAACATCAACAATGAAAGAGAATCATTGCTCAGCCAACTCCTGACCACCACCCACTGGGAATCAAGCCCGAAACCCCGGGGCATGTGCCCTTGGCCGGAATCGAACCTGGGACCCTTGAGTCCGCAGGCCCTCTATCCACTGAGCCAAACCTGGTAGGGCTTTTTTCTTTTTTTTTTACAATTTCAAAGATCACATTCTTAACTACTGGGCTCTAGACCCGTGGTTGGCAAACTGCAGCTCACGAGACACATGCAAGTCTTTGGCCCCTTGAGTGTGGCTCTTCCACAAAATACCACGGCCTGGGTGAGTCTATTTTGAAGAAGTGGCGTTAGAAGTAGTTTAAGTTTAAAAAATTTGGCTCTCAAAAGAAATTTCAATTGTTGTACTGTTGATATTTGGCTCTGTTGACTAATGAATTTGCCGACCACTGCTCTAGACAAATAAGCATTTTTATATAAGTAGGTTTACATGGATAACAATAGAGAATAAAGAGCCAACATTACCTAAAAACTGTAGCACACTGCTGAAACCACTATAAATCCAGTCAAATATGAAGGACATATCCAAATCTTACAGGGTCTGGAAAAAAACATGTTTGAATTTAGTAGACAACATTAAATGCCAATATACATTAAACAACATTAACCAACTCTGAGTAAATAACCTTATAACAATTTTACCATAAAGAATTAAACACTCTTATCCAGGCTGGTCTAACCTGATCTATACTGATGCATAAAAATGCCATTAAAATATTAAGCAGGACCATTTTTTGCCCATCAAAGAAACAAACACAAAGAAGAAAAAAGTTCTCAACATGAAAAAGAATTATAACTGCCAGGACGAGAAAAGGTGTATTGTTAGGTAAAATGAGGCATTGTTAGTGGCAGTATAAATTTCTACAAATCTTTCTCAAAACCACTTTGACAATAATAAATCTGTTGATACCACTTGACCTAAGAATTCTATTTTCAGAAATTGTCCTAACTCTGACCAGTGTGGCTCAGTTGGTTGAGCTTCTTTCCATTCATGGAGATTTCCAGTTGGATTGCCAGTCAGGGCACATGCCTGGGATAAAAGCATGATTCCCAGCAGGGGTGTGCAATGGGCAACCCATCAATTTTTTTTCTCTCTTTCAAACATAAAATCAATAAAAACATTTTTTTTAAAAAAAATAGCTCTAAATTTGGAAAAGCTTTATATATAAAGATGTGCATCAAAGTGTTATATAAGAAAAAATTTAGAAATAATCTATGTTCAAATTAAATTAATTATAGTACATATGATCTATGGAATATTTACCAAAAATGATGGAGTGGGGGCAGGAAGAGCAGGAAGAAGAGAAAGGAAAGAAGGAAGTCTATGATAAAATAAGTTTCATAGTCTGATTGTACCAATGGGATAAAAACACTTTTTCTATTTCTTTTGGTCTTTTGAAGTAATTGGTACCAGGTGGTAAATTTCTGTGTTTATCTTTTGCTTACACTTTTCAAATTTTAATCATGTTATTGAATGTTTAAAAAAAAAATCTTTATCTTAAGCTAGGCCTTCTCGATCAATAAACTTTTCCTTACCCTCCTCTCCTTACTAGCATGAGCAGAATTTTGTTCCTGCAATCAGTTGATTCCTGATTAAGACAGTGACTGGCAAACTATGAAGCTTCATGTGTCAGTATCACAAGAATGAGATCTACAACAGCAATATATTCAGGGTATCCCAAAAAATGTATACATAAACAGCTGAGAGCTCAATTTTGAAAATGAAACGTATTTTAATAAGTATTGCCTTTATAATTATTCAAAATTATGCATTTCGGGGGACAACCTATCCTGTATAATTAAAAGGTATATATATATATATATATATATATATATATATATATATATATATATATTTTTTTTTTTTTTTTTTAATTTATTTTTTTTTTAAAGGATCAAATGACATACAATGCACAAAATATTTACTATCTAGTTGCTGTATTAACAAGTGAATGAGCCTTAGCCGGTTTGGCTAAATGTATAGACTATACTTTAGAGTGTTAGCCTGCACACTGAAGGGTCCCAGGTTCAATTCAGGTCAAAGGCACATGCCCAGGTTGCGGGCTCAAACCCCAATAGGGGTGTGCAGAGATGTTCCTATCTCTCTCTCCCTCTCCCTTCCTCTCTGAAATCAATAAAAAATATATTAAAAAGAAAGTGAATGAGACAGGAGGTTAATAGGCGGAGGCAGTAAGGAAAAATCCTCTTTCAAAAAGTTTGAGATGAGCACATCTGGTGTGACTCACGGGTTGAGTATCAACCTGTGAATCAGAGGTCACAGTTCGATTCCTGGTCAGGGTACAGGCCCAGGTTGCAGGCTCATTCTTCAGTAGGGATTATGCAGGAAGCAGCTGATGAATGATTCTTTCATCATTGATGTTTCTATCTCTATCTCTCTCCTTCTCCCTCTCTCTTCTCCTCTGAAATTAAAAAAAAAAAAAAGTTTTTATAAAGTGTGAGATAGAATGAGGGAAATGAGATTTTCTTTTTAAGGAAAGGTGAAGCTTAGAGTATGTTGATAAGCAGAAGGGAAGGAGCCAACGGAGAGGGAGAGGTTAAAGGTGAGAGAGAAAGAGAAGGAAGGAGCTAGCCACAGGGGCAAAGTTTCCAGAGGAGCCTGGGCTGAGAGCACCCCGAGTCCTCTAAGGTGACTCCCAGAAAGGCAGGCCAGGTGTAAATAGTGGGGGTGGCAGGAATCTCACTCCAGAAGTGAAGAAGGGATGGAGGAATTCTGAGGAGCAGAGTGAGCGTGAAAACAGCCACTGTGCAGGAGAGATCAAGTAAAGAAGCGTCGAGTGCCTGGCTGGAGGTGAAAGGCTTTAGCAGCGCCAATCCGCACTGATTTCCATCCCCCACGCCTCCCCACCCTCACTCTCCACCAAGGCTTAACTTAGAGAACACTGGATGGAGGAGGATTATGGACTTCCAGAACAGGACCTAATAAAAGACAAGAGGCTGAAACCGGTTTGGCTCAGTGGTAGAGCATTGGTCTGCGGACCGAAAGGTCCCAGGTTCAATTCCAGTCAAGGGCATGTACCTTGGTTGTGGGCACATCCCCAGTAGGGGATGTGCAAGAGGCAGCTGATCGATGATTCTCTATCATTGATGTCTCTAACTCTCTATCCCTCTCTCTTCCTCTCTGTAAAAAAATCAATAAAATATATTTTTAAAAAATTAAAATTAAAAATAAAAGACAAGTCTACGGCCATACCACCCTGAACGCGCCCGATCTCGTCTAAAAATAAAAGACAAGGGAACAGGAAATTGAGTACTAGTAAGAGAAACTAAGGTGATGTGATCAGAAGTTCAGGCTGAGTGGGAAAAGGTACAAAGGTAGTGGTGCATAGGGATGGAAATCAAAGGCAGGGTTCTCAAAATATAGAACTGGGAGAAGAGGAAAGCCTTTTTAGAAAAGCAGGCATTGATGTAGTAAAAGGGTGAGATGGGCCATAACTGTGCCAGCAATCAGAGGCGAATGTGGGGTTCAAGAATTCAAGGGAGGCCCTGGCTAGGTGGCTCAGCTAGTTGGGGGCGTCCTCCCACACATGGGAGGATCTCAAGTTCGATGCTGGGTCAGGTCTACCATGTTTGTGCAAGAGGCAACCAATGATGTGTCTCTCGCATCCATGTTTCCCTCTCCCTTCGTCCCTACCTCTCTAAAGAAAAAAGGTTGCAGAGAGAGAGAGAGAGAGAGAGAGAGAGAGAGAGAGAGAGAGAGAGAAAATGGCACCTATTTGCTACTATAAAATTTGTGCCAAAAGAAATAATTTAATAACATATGAGAAAACTCTGCTTTAGAAAATAATGAGATATCTATATTTCTAAAAACTCGAGGTTTCTAAGAATCTTAAAACAAGCTGGGAGTCATTAGTCATTTTAAAGTAGAGATAAAAATGCCTAACTAAGAATAAAAGACACTTAGCCACAAACAGATATCTGAGCCCTGAGAACGGGTTACACAACACCATGAACACCCTATTAAGACATGTGAAGAGCAAAGGTCAAGAACAAGGAAACATATACACATCAGCAGATTTATTTATTGCATGAACACTAAACAGGAAAAGCCCTATACAGATTGGAAAAGTGGTCTACTCATGTAACATGAAAATCAGTGCAAAGGATATAGTGGAATAGAACCTCTCAGATTAAAAATAACTTCTTACAAAAAAAGAAACACCTTCTTAAATAGGCATATCCTTAGAATAAGTAGATTAGTGTTTTCAGACAGGAAAGAAAGAGAAAACTGGGAGGAGTGGCTGCTAATGGGTACTGGGTTTCTTTTTGGGGGTGACAAAATGTTCTGGAATTAGAGAGTGGTGATGGTTGCCAACATTGTGAATATACTGAAAACACTGAACTATATTTATAAGGGTAAATTTTATGACACAGGAACTACTCAATAAAGGTAATATTAAAAATTAGTCAAATTTATAAATTTACATGGCCTTTTAATAATATTTACAACAAATTTATATAAATAATTAGGCAGAACCATTGGTATAAACTTTAAGGGAAAAAAATAAATAAACTACAACCGGATACAAATACTCCAAAAAATACTACTGAAAGAAAATAAAAGCTATGATAGTTTAACAAGGCAAATACGATATAAAATAGGATTATACAATCAATACATTAATAACTTTTGTAAATAAAGTATGGTAGAGCTAAGATAAAATGGACAGAATTTTAAAAATATGCATTTAACATGCATATTTTGAAATACTATTATTCTGGAAAAGTCAATCTTTCCTATAATGGAAATAACCAACCACCTGTCTTGGTGTTGTAAAAATAGTTAAATAGGAAAATATACCCAGAACACCTTGAATACTATACAATATAAGATGGTATTAACTTATTCAGACTAAATTAATTAAAATTCAGTGCACAAACTCTAAATGCCGATTTTCAAATTAACTTCAATATTAACAATTTTTAGGCCTGGTCTGGTATAGCTCAGTTGGTTAGAGCGCTGTCCTGATGTGCCAACATTGCGGGCACATGTAAAAATCAACTAATGAATGCATAAATAAGTAGAAAAACAAAAATTGATGTTTCTCTTTCTCAAATCAATTAAAAATTTTTAAATATATTAACAACTTTTAATATGAACAAGTTTTTAATGATATTCGGATTCTATTTTAAATATTAACAGCACTGTCACCAGATAGGGCACTAGACTAGTTTCCTTCAACTCCACGTAAAAAGAAATTTCACTAGAAGAGATTAATCATAATGTTTGACCTAACTGTATCAGGTTTATGATTAAATCATGTACAAGTTTCAGGGAGCAGGGGGAAAGTGGAGGAAGGGGGAAGGGTGATAGGAGGAAAAGAATAGACAAATTTTAAAAAGTACAAAATCCAAAGATGAGTATGCTATCTGTAAGCTAATTTAGAAATTATATATACCTCTCTCTCTAATTGAAATACTAGAAATATAAAGAAGCCAAAATGTCTTCTTGACCATGTTTTGCAGAATTTCAGCAAGGCCCTGTGCATTACTAAGGATAGAGAG